TGCAGGCTGCTCACTGTGAGCTCAGGGCTCTCCACTCTGTTGCCTTTCCCTTGGGAGCCCTGCACCAACGTGCGCTCCCTCCCCACCTGGCTGCAGTGGGGGCGGCGAGTTGTGCCTCCCACTGCTGGGTGGGCAGGGGGTGTGCAACCAGCATGGGGTTCCCAAGGGAAAGGCAACAGAGCAAAGAGCCCCAAGTCCACATTGAGCAGCCCGCATCCGCCCTTGCTGCACTTGGCTCGGCTCCAGTTAAAAGCGTTCTCACACTTTAAAATGGTGGCAACAGTGCCTGAACTAAAGCTCATTCAACGAGCTTTAGTTCAAGTCCTCCCACTGCCATTTTTAAGTGCCAGAATGCTGATCCCCTGGATGAACTGCCCACAGTTTTGTCCTGCTCCCCACCCTGGCCCCAGGTCCCATTCACCAACCTGGTTGGCCAGTACCCGCAGCCCCTACCCCACTCCCTCCCTCACTCTGGTGGCCTCAATCTGCCACCCCTCATGCCACCTTCCCTTCTACAGACTGACCTGCAGGGAGCTGCTCTGCACACTACCCAGCTGCATTCCTGTAAATCAGTTATTGGCCAATATGGATAGTTAATAATTGGCTATCGGTGTCAGCCAAGAAAATTCTTATCAGTGCACCCCTAGAAAGGATCATTAAAAAGGCTAGAGGATCATTGATACCTGTGGAGTGGAAAGAGATGGGTAGTAATCAGGGAGATGATAATAAACCATGAAATCAACTGACTCTCAGTACTGCCTGAATAGAAATGCTGCTGCCCCTACCAGGCAGTTGGTTTTAAACATTAAGTGGGGCAGGAATCAAAGGGGAGTATAGAATCTTAGAAAATGAGGGCTGGAAGGGACCTCAGAAGGTCATCTAGTCCAACCCCCTGCTCATAGCAGGACCATCCCCAACTAGATTATCCCAGCCAAGGCTTTGACTAGCCAGGTCTTAAAAACCTCCAAGGATGGAGATTCCACCACCTCTCTGGGTAACCTGTTCCAGTGTTTTACTACCCTCCTAGTGAGAAAATTCTAACTAATATCTAACCTAAACTGCCCTGGCTGAAGCTTGAGACTGTTGCTCCTTGTTCTGCCATCTGCCACCACTGAGAACAGTTTAGCTCCATCCTCTTTCAAACCTACCTTCAGGTAGCTGAAAGCTTCTATTAAATTTCTTCCCAGTCTTCTCTTCTCCAAACTAAATAAGCCCAGTTCCCTCAGCCTCGCCTTAGAAGTCATGTCCCCAAGCCCCCTCACCATTTTTGTTGCCCTCCTCTGGACTCTCTCCAATTTGTCCACATCCTTTTGGGAGGCCCAAAACTGAACACAATACTTCAGATGTGGCCTCACCAGTGCTGAATAGAGGGGAATCATCACTTCCCTTGACCTACTGGCAACACACATACCAGTGCAGCCCAGTATGCTGTTAGGCTTCTTGGCAACAAGGGCACACTGCTGACTCATATTCAGCTCATTATCAACCCCCAGGTCCTCTTCTACACGAATCCTCCAATTTGTCTAAGTTACGCTGAATCCTAGCCCTATACTCAAGTGTATCTACTACTTCCCCCAGATTGGTGTCATCTGCAAACTTTCTGAGGGTGCACTCTATGCCGTCTTCCAGGTCGCTAAAGAAGACATTGAACAAAACTGGCCCCAGGACCAACCCCTGGGGCACTCCACTTGATAACGGCTGCCAACTAGACTTTGAGCCATTAATTACTACTCTCTGAGCCTGATGCTCCAGCCAGTACAGTAGAATACCAAAATGCACAACTGCACACCCCCTGGATCTGCCCCTCTACTTGGGAGATCCTTTCCTCCACCCCCAAGGCTTTGTACTGAACTATTTGTAATACATCTTTGGTAAAACTTTCCTAACAGAGCAGCAGTAATCTCTAAATAGCAGCGGACAAAATATAAACAATCACCATACAAAAG